TTTTTTTTTTTTTTTTTTTTTTTTGAGAATTTTTTGTTTCATTCTGAAAAATGCTGTATTAGGAATGCGAAACAAGGGATACCACACTTACTTTTTGCAATAACTCAACGAAATGTGGAACGAATAGCGGTAGGGCGTCAATACAGTACGCTTGTCAGAAATATTAGGGAAGGCGTGGGATCACTGTTTCTACCGGAAGAGTTGTGCTTATTGGGTGTGTGCGTATCTGTATGCATGTGTGGGTGTGTACGGTGTATGTTTGAGCGAGTGAGGGGGAGTAAAGAGGAAAAAGAACAAATAGCGACGTGCACCAGACTGGCCGGTGCGATCATGCGTTTTGTGCAACTCTGTCCACCGAAGGATTGCCTACTAATGATTTTCATTGCTCTGAATTTAAATTTGAGGGGATGCACATGGGCAGGGAATAAAACCACGGATTTAACTTGCAGACTTAACCCAGACATATATATTGAAACATACAGATTTATCAATGTAGATCTGCACGTATTTTTGCTAGAAGGCAATACGCTGGCTTTAATAAGTTGAATTGATGGATTTTACAAGTATTTTCAAAATTTAAGCCCCCTGGGTTCCACGGTTCCCTAAATAATAGTTTACTTACCAAAAGTTTCACGGGGCTGTATATGTTAGCCATGGGTATGGGAAGGTTGAATTTAAATTTTCTGGTCGCACATGGGCAGCTGATATGCTGATAAAATTTTAGCTTTCTAGCTCCAGTGGTTCTCGAGATAATAATTTTCCCGCCAAAGCTTTTACGGGGCCATACGTGTTATCCGCAGTTTCGGAGAAGTTGAATTTGTGGGGTCACATGTGGATAGAAAGCATCCCCTTAAATTTTCAGCGTCCTAGCTTTTGTGGTTCCTAAGTTGAAAGTTGCGAACAACTTGCTACGTACACATCCACACACACACACACACACAGAGACAATCTCGTGACAATATACGTTTTGTACTGCTGTTACATAGCATAAAACGCATAAAAATAAATTAAATACTTGAATCAGAGAGGCTTGTGGGCAGCTAGACGGGATTGAAGAATGTTGAGTACTTAAGTCGCTGGAATATGTTGAATTTCAAGTTCACTGCATCTGTAATAACTGTTTTCAGGCTGTTCTATTTTGATTCAAACGTACGCCTACAGGATGTGGATTTCAGTGCAGTAGTAGATATCCGAGATGCCATTAAAACGAAATTGTTGTAATGCTGCTCGACGCATTCAATCAGTTAGTTTTTAGCATTCGTTCGGCATTCACCAAATAATTCTTCGACTTCGAAACATAGATGCCTCTTCATGTCGCGAACAGCGAAAGAACGAACGTTCCAGAAAGTCGATAGATTTCTGGACTATGATCTCGGAATCTTTCTGTGTCGATCTATCGTTTTATTGCTAAGACTAGGTTATTGTATAGTCTTATCGTCAGAGAAGACGGCTGCGTCATCCTGTCTTGCCCTACCGCATCAGCCGAAGGAGGTTATCATCCCTGCTAAAGATGGTCTCGTCATCGAAGAATTGATTGGAGAATTATTTTAAGCGACCTTCCTGAATTTTGCCTAAATTATTTGCGAGAAATCTCGGGCCTGCTTTAGCCTCGGCAAGAATTTATTGGTTTGTTTTTCTTTGTTAAACTAAGCCGTTTTATTGTTTGTCAAGGTTGCATTAAAGTGTGTTTACATTTAACAACACCTCATTTCAATGTGGAAATCCCAGTAGGCTGAAGTTTAGCTCTTCTTTTAATGATTGAAACTTATCACGTTTTTTTATAGCTCTGTAACAAATTAAAAGTAACAGAGCCATGTTAAGCCAAGGTAACAAAGCTCTGTAAAAAAGCCATCTTTTTGGACTTTATTTTGCTGTTAAAAAATGCCACAGTTTATTTTTTCAGTTCATTACACAACGAAGCCATTTGGCTACAGTGCAGGCAAGTCCAGCTCCCAGTTATGGTGTCAAACCTTTGGAAAAAATTAGAAATATAGGTTTGTCTGTCAAATTTTTGCCCCTTCTGTCTTATAAATCAAATTTTCTGTCGTAAAATTTGAGGGATATCGCTTTTTTTTATGAAAGGTAAAGAAAGCAGTCAAAATCAGTAGAATGACCATCGGATGAAGCCACAGCAACACTGTAGTGTTTGATTACTGCTATGATTGCAGCAGTGTATAGGTATACAATGAAACTCTGCCAAGACAGGACAACAAATGGCTTATTTTATAAATTTGCTTGTAACTTATCAAAAAAAAAACTTTCTCTTTTAAAATCCTTTTTTTCTTCCTTCCTTTTCCCTTTCTTC